TTCCCCTGCTCCCGCCTCCGCGGGTGCCGACCCCCGGGCTAGGCCCACAGGCGGGGCCGGACACCATTTCTCGGAGTACTGCGCGCACGCCAGAGACGGGTGGGGGGTTGCCCATCAATCACTGGGCGCAGGGCGCGGGGTGTTTGTTTGAGTGTTACAAGGGGTGAATGAGTCTTGAAAAATCATCAACCAATGTGTGTCATTTCTGGACAGCCCCTATGTGCTAAGCACGGTCCGATCCGGAATGGGCCTTTCGTCCCCAGTTCCCAAAGCACTGCCTGGGGCTTAAAAGAGATTAAAGTGCACTCCCTGTGCTCGTGGCAGTTTTTCCATTCTAGCATTCCCTGACGAAAGTGCAGTGCGTTGTCGTATCCATCCTCCTGACTGGAGGCCAGTGGCTGCCACGTAATGAGGTTTAGGAAAAATCAGCATAAACCCTTGCTATGTCTAGTCTCCTACAGCCTTTCATTCTGTGGCGACATAGCCAGCAACTATGTAGAATTAGCTCTGGAAAACATTTAAAGTTTTGCTTCAATATAAGCTACTTGGAACCTCAGGTTCTGTAAACCAGAATTTCTGAAATACGATCTAATGTTCAAGTGTGCAATGAGAGATCAATTGTTCTAATCAGTTGTTCTATGTACCTAGTGAAATATCTCAATGCCTATACAGGCATAGTTCTCTTGCGTTGCCGAAAGGACTTCTACAGGCTCCTCTGGTCAGCTCTTCCCTTTGTCACTTACTTAGAGAACAGGAACCAGCGTTATTCCTGTTTCTTCAACACACTACATGTTGGAGGTAAGGTTTTCAAGAGCTTTTCTTTGGTGGCCTGTGGCATGTCTTACTAATTCCTCCTAGTGCAGCAACATCTCAGAACTTTGAGATCTTGAATTTCTTATTACTCTTGTAATGATTAGGAGGGAAGAGCCCTCACTTATTTAATATTTTTCCAGTTATATGACAGATGAAGGCCATGTAATGCCTCACTGAGGCTAGTACAAACTCACTTTTAATGGCTTTAAATAGGTCATCCTAAAGCTAAGACATTCTTCATTCTGCTATGGCCTCTCTACAAGCTCTGCTGTTTTTTTCATTATGCCGAGTTAGTCACTCATCTGTTCATTATACTGCTACCGCTTTAAAAGAAAAAGCCCTTCTACTTTGCAGATGTAACTTTATTCTCCCAACTTCACTACTTTACAGCAAAGAGCTTGCCACCCCCATCACAATTTGGTAATCTGCCATCAGGGAGCTGTTTTGATCAAATCTCAAGTGTAGCAAAGTGGCAACTGAGTCTCTGTCAAGAAGTTTCAAACAGGGAGGGAAGGCTGGAGGAATAATAAGAGTTATTTCCTTATTATTCAGCACTAGTTCAGTAGCTGATTAATATTATAGCCTGTAAAAAGCAACAGAGTCCTGTGGCACCTTTAAGACTAACAGATGTATTGGAGCATAAGCATGCGTCTGATGAAGTGGGTATTCATCCACGAAAGCTTATGCTCCAATACATTTGTTAGTCTTAAAGGTGCCACAGGACTCTGTTGCTTCGTACAGATCCAGACTAACATGGCTCTCTGATTATAGCCTGTGATGTTCTTGCTGTTTGATCCACTACATTCCCACTTCCTGCATGAGTAGGGAGAACATATTGTCACAGCATTAAAATGGACTCTTGCCCTGCTTTGTTGCATTTAATTTGTTTCAGCCCTCTGCTAACATACAGAACTTGTGCACTTGTTTCTCCAACAGGGACAATAAGAACATGTCAGAAGTTCCTTGTTCAGTACAATAGGAAACAGCTGCTGCTGCTATTGCACAACTGCACCAGTGAAGGTAAGCAGCTGCTCCATTCATACATTCTAAAAGGGGCCCTGTTACACATGGACTTTGTGTTATGTTGTATGATGCATGTGTTTCATTTCTCTCCTGTCAGTCTGGTTATTTGGTAGAGCTGGGCTCCTCAGGTGGTCAGTGTAGCTAAGTGAACTTCTTGTACTTCCCTCTATGTGAAGCCATGTTGAATAGTGACATTTTTAATTGTGTGCCTCATCCTCATTGTTGCAGAGGAAAGACAGTCCATCCAGAAGTCAGTGTTAAGCTGTTGCCTTAAGGAAGTGGAGGAGGAGCAGTCTCAAAGTGGGGATGAAGAAGATGACTGTGCAGAGACAGACTGAACATAAACCTAAAACTAGTGCAATGCCTTCTGTGAGACAAGCGGATAACTTGCAGTTAAAAGATGTCCCAGGCTTTCTGCCCTATGCTGAGCAGATAAGATTCAAGGCATCTCGTGCCCCACCTTTTTTTAAACATATATTTGATTTTGTGGAAATAAAGCTAAGAGTAAGATACATTGCTTTCTTGTAAAAATCACTGTGCAGCAGCCTTAAAAATTCAACTACAGCACTCTTCAGTTAAACTATTTAAGCAAGAGTCTGCATCTCTTCAAGCCAAGAGGAGGAAATGGAGTGGTGGCTTTCACCAGGTTGTATAGTAGAGGAAGGGTAGTAGGTTGGCTGGATTTTTAATGGCATGGGAGACATAAGCAACCTATTAGCAATAGGATTTATTTGAAGGATAGCAGAGTTATTTTTTTTAAAAACAGGTCCAAGGACTTCTCTAAGTTAGCCTCCAACTACACCCAGCTATGGGAATCATATCCTAGTACTGGATCAGGCTTACTTTTTTTAATAGAAGAGATGAAACTGACTTAGTATGCCAGAGAAGCTATTTCTTTGAGGATGGTTCAATATATTGCCCTGCTTTTGTAGGCTATGGTTAACCTGTTTTTAACTGTCAAAGAATAAGTCTGAGCAACTGCTCTACTACCCTCAACAAAACACGAATACCTACCTCTGGGTTTTGATTGAGGTGTGCTTGTGTATTAATTCACACTACTGAGGAAAGGTACACCATTACTGGTAGGAGAATGAGGCCCCCTCCCAAAAAATGTGTTTTTCCCCCCAGTATCTATGGAATCTTAACAGTAAGGTTTAGACTGCAAAAACACCCAGTGTAGAGGGCATCACAAATCAAAGTTAATATTCATAGGAGTCAGGAAAGAATAGGAGTTGGTGTAAAAAAAAAAAAAATCGTTTTATACCAATCCCATCCCCCCCCCACAAAAAGGTTTTCCCATCATTGAACTAGTTCAGCTCCTCAAGTAGAAGAGGTAATAGAGACAAGGCTTCAGGGAGCTGCCAGCACCTTCTCTAGACCAAAACTATTCCATGCAACCTGGCTGTTGAAGTTTCTCTTAGCTGCAAGAGCAAGTAGTGGAATGTTTTCAGTTGAGTCCTAGTGTAAACAAAGCGCAGTTTGCTCTAGGTCAGATGGAGAGATGCCTAGTTAGTGATAAATAAAATGGATTGCAAAGGAATGGGTAGGTTGGACATTTTCAGGCCTTCATAAAGCAGCCAGGTTTATAGAAAAGTTTACTTTTAGTCCCATCTTAAAAAATACTGGCATTGGAAACAGTTCAGAAAAGGGCAACAGAATTATTAGGGGGTATGGAATAGCTTCCATATGAGGAGAGATTAGCAACATGGGGATTTTTCAGCTGGCAAGAGAGATGATTAAGGGGAGATATGATAGAGGCCTATAAAATGACAGATGTGGAGAAAGTAATAAGGAAGTGTTATTTACACTCTAACAAGAACTAGGATGCCACCACATGAAAAGAGGCAGCAGGTTTAAAAAACAAGTATTTCTGCACACAACACCTAGTCAACCTATGGAACTTTGCCAGAAGAGGTTGTGAAGGCCAAGCCTATAACAGGGTTTAAAAAAAATTAAATACATTAATGAAGGATGTGTCCATCACTGGCTGTTAGCCAGGATGGGCAGGGATGCTAGCCCTAGCTTCTGTTTGCCAGAAGCTGGGAATGGGCAACAGGGGATGGATCACTTGATTACCTGTTCTGTTCATGCCCACTGAGGGCATTGTGGCATTAGCTACTGTCAGAAGAGGGGCTAGGGGGCTAGATGGGCTTTTGGTCTGACCTAGTATGGCCAGTCTTATGTTATTAGAAAAACAGAAGTCTGGCAGAGGGATATTGTGATACCAAGGAAGAACTAAAAGGGGCAGGATGTAATTCTTATCAAAGTCTGAATAAGGTGCCAGACCTTCTCTCTAGCATATTACGAATCTAATCTTCCCCTTTTCTTAGGGTGAGAAAAGCTCACTGCATAGTAAATCCTTTGGCATATCCAAATGAAAAAAGGTAAGAGGCCTTGGGATTTGGGATAGTTGAACTTAAAGCTGCTGTTTTATAAGGAAGGCCTGCAAGCTAAAGGACACAGCCCCATTCTTTTCCTTTACAGCCAGTTGGTAAAGGGGATCTTCTTTTTCAGGTAGTGGCTACTCAGCTTAACTGCAAAAGTTACATTAAAAACTCTTTCCAAAACAAGCCTTAACAAATGGGATAGAGTACAGCAGAGGAAGGACTCCTGCCCCTCCCCCAGCACTACAATTCCAATTGTGCATATGATTTATTGCAACTGTTTGCCTTTGCTGGTACATTACACCTACTGTTCATTTTATTTAATGAAAATCCACACCAATTAATGCATTAGCTTCAAATTAAACCACAGGCAGTGCAGAATGAAACCGCTCCAATAAAAAAAAAAAAAGTGGGTGGGGAGGGGAGAAAAAGGTTTATAGTAAGATGAGCCTAGTACAATCCAACTTGCATCCCTGCACAAAGCAGAACAAGGTCCCTGTTCCCCCAGGACAGGACAGGACAGCCTGGCTCCTTGCTGTGGGGTTAATTCTGCAGATTTTAGATACCACTTATTCATCTGATCTCAGAAAACCCACCCAGCATAGTTAAAGACTCTAGGGTGGAATGTTTGCTCCAAATCATGGAGGCAAAGAAATTCTCTTTGTAACCTATGCTGGCTAAAATATCAGTCTTACTACATCCATGTTAACACAGTAACATAGCTGCTTTGTACTATAACAAAGTCATTCCCTGACATTCATTCTGAAATGCAGAGAGTCCTGTATGTATTGTAATTTGAATTTGGTAATGAGGATCGACTTTATTCCCACTCTAGATCTAGTCCTTAGGCACCAGAATGTGTTAGTAACGGCTACTCCTGTCATTTTAAAAAGTAAGAACCCTCCTTCCTACTATGATCTAGAAACAAGAACCTCTTCAGTATTGCCTGTTTCCAGTGGGAGGCAACTGCACTTGCTAAGAAAAAGGATTTTGCTTTACAGCTAACTGCACCTACTGCCAGATCTTGTGTACTGTTTCCTCACGATACACACACTCATAGGGAGAGTACAGCTTCTCTGCTTTTTGAATGACATGACACCACATTGCAAAAAAACTGGCAGTAAAACACATTCAAACTGCTGATGGGCCAAAAGAGCTGACTTGGCACAAACTGGAAACCTTGGCTAAAGTTGCCAGGTTCCAGTTTCTCTTAATACTTTGATTTTGTATAAACCAATTAAAGGTGCTAGAAAAAAAAAGTGGATATCTATAGTTTCCCCCCCTCAAGGCCTAGAAACATGGATTTAGTCTGTTCAAGCTTAAATACTTAAACTATAGCAGCAAAACAAAAAGCAAATGAAAACCAGGAGACAGAACTTTCTTGGACAGCAGCATCACTTTGTGTGGACAACTGAGGTGCTAAATAGCAGCTTCTGCTTCTGTTTCTTTCTTTTCTTGCCTCCCTTTTCTTCTGTAAAGAAAAAGATTTATAAAAATTTTTTTGGCTTCGACTAAGCCATATTTCTCCTCAGCTACAGTGATCTTCCCACTTAATGGTTAATAGGTTGGGGAGGAGGGTTAGTTTCAATGTAGGTACCTAGGACCTTGTTTTCTATTGCTATGGAATTTTTGCCACACAATGCTATAGAATTTTAGGACTTTTTTAAAAGTCCAGTACTAGCCCTTATGGTGGCTACAGAGGAAGCTGTCCAAAGGTGAAACACATGCAATCTGATGGGTTATTTTCTGGGTCTCTAGAGTTTGAAATAGTCAAGCAGTATGAGCTGATCTTATTGCACTTATTTTAGTAGCTCTGAACTTACATACTTATCCATCACGCTGCTGGATGCAGGCAGATATTGGGTAGCAAGTGATAGATTAGCTCACCTCCAAAGAAGGGATCACTTCAACCCCATTCATAAAAAGGTTAGAAAAAAAGATGAAAAAAAAAAAAAAAAACAAGTACATCTCCTTCCCACTGCCAGAAACAGTTCTACAACAGTGGTCGTCAATATGGAGTCCACAATACACTGCAACTTTTGTGGAAGCATGAAACTGAGCATAAGAACAAGGACTAGTGTATCAATGTCCATTCATTTAAATGAAAGTGTCTAGATATGAATTAGTTTGAAACTTCTATATGACTACAATTGGCTGCAGAATTCATCACTGGAGTGTGCCAGAAGCACAAAAAAACCCCACAACTTTGGTGTTATGTGGTAAAGGTGGGCCTAGCTCACCCCAATCCTTGCACATAGGGAGAAGCCAGCAGAAGCTGGTGCATGATGAATACCCAAGAGACAATTGTGTGCTGTGCCTCTGAGGTCCAGTCCAGGGAGAGAGGGGACAAAGGTGGTTTTAAGCCACCTCTGTGCCTATACAATTCTGGGCTTGTTGGAGGCTGGTGCAACTCCCACTGTAACTTAGAGCAGCTCTATGTTAAGGCTGCCTCTGAGCAGCTCCACAACCTAGAACTGTTCAGAATGGTTCTAGTATTGTAGGTTACAGTTCCATCCCCAACATACCACTACACTACTACACCAGGACATGGGCTCATAAACCTTAATCAGTGCCAGCACTGGGGGAAACTTGCCCAGCCAGTGATAGGGCTTTTATGGCCCCTGTACACTGGGAGGGAGGACTCCCAGTGTCAGGGAACTCTGCATGTTAGATTTTTTAGGTGACCGACTGCTTTGTTCTTACCAGAGAGGGGGTCAGATGTGGATGGCTTGTCCAACTTCAGGAAGGCTGCCTCAATAGCTTGGCTAAAGGAATTCTGGAAGCTGGGCACAGGCATACGGTCAGAGTTGTCACTCTCTCCATCACTATCCACTGGAACAGGAGGTGCCAGGGTATTCTGATCTGGAAGAAAGGAGATTTCTAGAAAGGCCACAGATGATGGAAGAGTTGTGTTGCTGAGTTTGTAAAAAAGTGCTTTTATTCAGTAGCCATTACACCTGAAATTATGCAAGATAATCACTGGAGGTAGGGTTTCCTTACCTCTTGTGTTTGAGGCAGCTTTGGGCCACATTTCTGGCTTTGCTTTTCCAACTCTCAACATCTACCAAGGGAGGGGGAAAAAAAAGTGTGCATAAGAAAGCAGATCAAGACCTATCTGTCAGCATCCCCTCCCACACCCCCAGAAGTTGTAAGGAAATCCAGGCCTTTTGTACAATACAACTTTCAAGCCAGAAAACAGGACTTGGCCCAGTATTATGGGTCTTTTGCCAAACATTATCACTGATTAACTGAAGAGCAGAGGGACCATCCCATCTTAGCAGCCACTAAGACCATGCTTGGAGGTCTTAAACTTCAGACCAGTGAGGAAACAGCAAGTAGGATAGTCAGCTGGGTGTTCTGTTCCATATGCAACTTTAAGGGAAGAGGATTTACCTGGGCAAAGGAGGGTAAGGGAGACTCTTCTTCCAGGCTTCCAATACAGAGTGGTGGGCTAGCCAGGCTAGCAGCAGTTGCCAATGGAGTTGAGACAGACTCTGTAGAGAAAATTCAGTCAGTTAACAGGAAAGCTAATTACATGAGCAAAATCCCACATTTGTGCAATGGAGGAGAAAGAAGCTGGTGCAGCCAAGTCAAACAAAGCATTATAGCCCATAATTTTCAGCTTTCATCTCAACATATCTTGTCAATATTTCAGTTTCCCCCTCTGCTATTTAGCCTCTTATATAGACTGTCCCAAGATGTTTTTATACAGGGACACTTTTACTAGAGAGCAAGTGACCAAGAACTGTCTCGGAAGGCTGGAAAGGAGACCCCAAAATGAGATACACCTAAGGTGGAGTCACTGACTTGATCCTTCTTGGGACTACACAGGAAAACGTATCCTATATTCAGTGCTAAGGGTAGCATATTTCAGGTTACAATACACAAAAGAAAAATAAATGGTGGTTCACCCAAGGCAGAATTGTACAGTTACTTACAAACCTTCCCAGCTCCCCTTGGGTGTGGGGGTCCAATTTCTTGGAAGTAGCTATTCCTTTTCCTACAATACAAGGCTTCTTGTAAGTGGTGGCTGCAGTGCAATGCTCAGACCCAGGATATAGACAAGACATAGTGGAAGATAGGCAACACCACTTATGGAGATCTATACTTTAGTCCTATTTCTGGGTGTTGAACTTTTGGATTTCACCACTAATACCCAAAGGTTCTGTGGCCAGCAATGAAAGCCTAGCTTGGTGTTCTGAGTCAGAAAGCTTGAGGGAGGGACTGCATCAATCCCTCTATGCATTCTTCCAGCTGCTCACCTGTGAGAGAGACAGAGCTTCTGCCAAGAAGGGACAAAGAGGAGCTCTGGTTATCACTGCTGATGAGTTCTCCTGAGCAAGCACTGAAGGCAGGAAACTGCTGCAGGTTCTCTAAAGCAATGTGGACCTCAGGATCTAGAGAAAGCCAGAAAAGGTTTTTAATAAGAACATTGCTTAATATGGAGCAATGGGTCACAGGTGTGCAAGTGTCAAGTTGTTTCAGGGGCTTTGGGAGTGGTCTCTTCCTTGAAGGGAAAGTAACAATACTGCCACCTGGAGAAAAAAACAACCTAAATAGAAGCCTTGCTGCTGCGTAGAGGTAATCCCTATGCAGATGTTTGTTCTTCCTTCACCTTTCTAGTTGAAGGGATTAGTTTGGATTTAGAAACAATCCTGGGAGTTACATGAATACGGGGGGGGGATAGCTCAGTGGTTTGAGCATTGGCCTGCTAAACCCAGGATTGTGAGTTCAATCCTTGAGGGGGCCATTTAGGGAACTGGGGTTAAAAAAAAAAAAAAAATACTATCTAGGTCCTGGTTTGAGCAGGGGTTTGGACTAGATCTCCTGAAGTCCCTTCCAACCCTGATATTCTATGAGTATATCCTTTCCATTGAAGCTGAAGAATGTGGTGGGGGGCTTGCAATGTGTTGGGCATGGTTCAGAAGTATGTTAGTTGTGTCGTTTCTGTTAAACACTTATTTGACCCAGCTAGTGCAATTTATGATCTCACCATACAAGGAAAGGGTGCTAGAGTGCTACAGCAAGCCCAGTTTATGGCAAGGTTACAAGTGAATACCCTGTTAATCATGGCAGGCCCCCCAACCTTCACCCCAAAGTATTAACCCCTAATCTGCAAACCTCACACCTTCCCAGGATTTGGAGACATAGAAACCCACCAGTTGTGGTTAAGGGATACTTACACTTGCCCTGCTTCTTATTCTCCTCCATCTCAATTCTGCGTTCCCGACGCCGCTCATCACGAGCTTTTTTCTGCCGCAGGCGTTTCCTCTTTTCAATGTCATCTAAGTGTCACAAATCATAGGAAGCCAGGTAAAAGCCAATACTTGGTAAAGCTTTTTCCAGTTTTGGAGACACTATTACTAGGTGATCAACAACTTATTCATAAGCAGTTAGTGCAGTGTCCCACCCTAATCCATACTCTTCTCTCCCAAACTGTTTGTCTAATCCACACAAATAAAAACCTCACCTGTTGCAGACAAGTCAGAGGAGTTCCTTAACCTGAACAGGGCAATTCCTAATTCTAGCTAGGATCATCATGAACTAGGGTGACTGAGCAGCAAGCCAACCTTTTACATTCCTGTTATTCATTTGCCCTCCCAGCCACAGAAATAACATCCCTTCTTCCAAACTCTTTATGGTTACGGGACATGTTGGGAAAAGGAACGAAAGTACCAACCAGAAAATGTCTCTAGGGTCTCCTTTGATATGACAGGTGGCTTCAGAGCCAGTTCACAGATGCTGAACTCGCAGGTGAGAGGCAAGTGACATAGGTAACGATGGCGCTGTCGCATATCCTGAAAGGAGAGGGGGGGCGGGAAATATATATATCTAGCTATCTGATATCTTGTTGTAGCAGAACCCGCAAGTCTCTCCTTTCGCAACCATCTAGGTCACCTGCTTTTTAGGAGGTGACATTACTCTCACCCACTCAACACTTGAAATTCTGGGAACCTGTCTTGGAAACTGTTATGCCAAGTACTCCCCATTCATCTGTTCTCAGGAAGAGGAAACAGAAGCAACACCAACGAATCCAGTCAATTCAGGGGAATCTATATTCGACATTGCTGCTTCCAAAGGTGCCTGAAGTGGATCCCAACCCTACTCCCAGCCTGGAAAAAGTGCTTCAGCAAGTATTGGAAAGTGCTTGACAACCACTGTAAGTTACCTTTTCCTAGTAGTATCTTACCCACCATCAGCTCTCAACTGCCCTCCCTAAGAAAAAGGCCATGATTGATAACACAAGGGAAAGCTACAGCAATTACCTCTGTCATAGAGTAGCCAGTTATCTCCACCACAGCTGCAGTGAGCTTCTCTGGACTGTTCTCCAGGCTGCCATACTCACGAACAAGACAGCGAACATTCACAGGATGAAGATACATACACTGTCCATCCTCCGCTACAAGGGAAGAAATTCGCTTGTCACTTCTCTACTTCCCACTCACCCTTAACTCCCCTGGAACTACTGATTTCTCAAAGCCATCCCCCTCCCCACAAAGTGTCAAACATTAATGGTAAGAAAGTTTAGACTCATCTGTGAAGAATTGTGTTTCATAGGGGTTCATTAACAAGCTACAAATGCCTCCTCCGGGGCACTTTTTTTGGTGAACATTTACCTCTCCCCTCCAGAAACAGACTCCATTCCACTAACCTTGATAGAAATAGTAAAAAGGAGAGTTGTTGCTCAAACGTCCACTGTTGGCTGTAACTTTAGATTCCTGGTAGTTACTTTCTGATGGATTAGTTTCTTTTGTAGCATTCACATCTGGTACTGCCTCAGTGTCCACCTCCGCTACCTCCTCCTCTTCTGCTTCCAGGGGAAGAGGAAAGGAGCTTCTAGAATTGGAGCGGGCTTCCACCATCTCTTCATCAAATGCAGAAAGATATTCCAGAACACACTGCTATAGAACAAACAGTGTAGAGTCAGTATCCAACTATAATCTCTGGTACACAAATGCTCTGAGAAGGGTAAGTTTCAGAGTAGCAGCCGTGTTAGTCTGTATCCGCAAAAAGAAGAACAGGAGGTCTCTAAGGTGCCACAAGTCCTCCTGTTCTTCTTTCTGAGAAGGGTAGATATCCTCAGTGCCTGCTCACCTTACACTAGAGTGAGGAGGTGGAGTTAGATTTTAACTGTGCTTGTCCTGGGGGAGAAAAGGGGACCAAAAAACACCCACCTTTTTCTCCTGGGAAACTGCAGGCTCCCTGGTCACAGAAGGTTCCATCAGGACCAATTCTTCTACAGCTGCTGTGGCTCCTGCGACATCGCTATCGCTACTCTGGTCCAATGAAGTTAGAGTCTTCTCTCGATCCTACAGGCCACCCCAAAAAGAACACATTTCAGTTTACTTATTCCAGAAGACAGATGATAAACGTCAGTATTCCCTCCCCTAGTGTCTCAGACTGCCAGAGATCAAGATTCTCCCTCACCCAGTAGCCACTTCTAAAATAGAGGGAGACACCAGCTTACTTAGAAATGACCTCTGCAGGCTATCTGCAACATACTGGCTTTGAAACAAGCAACTGCCTGCAGGTTTGGTTAAAGAATCATTATCCCAAGAATTAGCTATTCCTGACACAAGGAGAGCCTGGCTTCACCAACAGTAAGCTTCCACAACTACCTCTGCAGTTAAGACACTATTCAGAGGCTGGTGGCATTCCAGGTGGCAGAGTTCAGTCGGTGATTGGGGTGCATGTAGTTCTTATTCCCTTTCAGTGTTTATATTGCTGCTTTTGATCAGGTGCTGTCCTTAATATCAAGCTACCTTGCCATATTCTGTGCCCCAAAGGAAGAATATTTGAAATTTTAAACTATTTTCTTTCATTACTACTGCAAATACTGAATCATCACACATTTCCAAAAATAATCTCTATATTGAGTTTATTAAAGGATTCTCATCTCACTCCCTCCCCCAAAACCAAACCCACTGTGGATACTTGGCCTCCATTAAAAATGTTGTCAGCATCAAGTAACCATTAACATCCACCACAACTGGGGGTCCTCACCTTCAGTTCCTGGATAGCTGCCTCAATAAAGCAAGCTTCAGGGGTGTTTTTTTCCTCCTCATACTGTTGTAGTAATGCGGTTTTCTCTTCCAAGATCACCCACTGCAGCACCTGCTCCCTGGATGCCAGCAGCAGCTTAGAGAATTGGCTGTGCTGCTCATCTGGCCAGGGAAAGAATATCAGTAAGACGTCCTTTGTAGACACCCAATGTGCAGCAAGCTCCAATTTCAACTCTCCCATTCCTATTAAAAACTCATCTACTCTCTCATTGTGGGCAAATCTACTAGGAAGACTAGATCTGCACATAAGCAGTGTTGTTGACGAGAAGTTACTGAGATAGGAGATCAGTTTATCATAAATCCCAATAGCAAGTTATGAAGTTAAGTCTCCATAAACATTCAACAACAATTTCTGCACTAGAAATTTGTTTTAGTGACTTGGTCACATCAAACAAACACTCTACACATTTAAAGAACCCACAAAAGGGCTTTAAAAACAAAAAAACAAAAACAAAAAGGAATGGGCTTTGGTCTCTATGAAATAAGCAGTGCCTAGAAGGTATTTCCTGCCTTAACCCGCTAGCAGCATCAGGAATGGCAAGTCTGGTCTTCCCTCATTTTGATGGAGGACCTCAGAGGATGCTGGCTCTCATTCTGAGGGTGGGGAACTCAATCTCAGTTTGGTATTAAACTGAAAGTTTAAACAGTGACAAAAATATTCCTTTTGCTCTCTGTCCCAGTTAATAAAAGCAATTTCAGTGTTTGAAATCCCAGATTAGAAACAAACTTTTAGAAGGACAGTAGATATCTTCATTCCTCCAAATCCAATCCTCACCCCAATTTCATAGTGTCACTACAGGGCAAAATTAAGGGGGGGGGGGGGCAGGGAAAGGAGGAAGAGAGAATCTTGTCTGTGCATCTTGCATATTTTGCCATATTTGGATTTCTTTTAAGTGCAAGCTTAATGCTGAAATTTTCTGCATTTGCAGTTATCCTGACACCAAGACTTACAATATCCTGTAGTGCTGTATGTTTTGTTTACCCAAAGTTACTGATGCACACTCAATCTTAATTTTCTAAATATCCAAGGCAAACATCTGAAATGAGTTCTATGCTCCAGGATCCTATATTGGGGGACACTGACCTTTAGAGCTAAGTTTAAACTATTTCCTCCCTTATAGGATTGGTTGAAAGACCACAGGTGAAAATAACCCATAAAGCAGCAGTGATAATATGAAGAACCTTGTCAGTCACACAAGTTGTATCATTGTCGTATCCCTGAATGCTTTAAATGTATGGAGGGGATGGTATGATGGGATAATCTAATTTTGGCAATTAAATGTAGGACACTGTCTAAATAACTAGAAAAGTTACAGAGCAGGGAAGACAAAAATTATGAGGTATATGGAACAGCTCAGGGAGGGATAGCTCAGTGGTTTGAGCATTGGCCTGCTAAACCCACGGTTGTGAGTTCAATCCTTGAGGGGGCCATTTAGGGATCTGGGGCAAAAAATCTGTTTGGGGATTGGTCCTGCTTTGAGCAAGGGGTTGGACTAGATGACCTCTTGAGGTCCCTTCCAACCCTAATATTTTATGATCAAGCCCCAGATAGGTAATAGTTTTCCCCACTAGGAGATTCCACTGGTAGAAGCATGCATATGCTGTTGCTACACACAGCATCTCTGAAATAATCTAGCATAAACTACAGCAGGGGTCAGCAACCTTTCAGAAGAAGTGGTGTGCTGAGTCTTCATTTATTCATTCGAATTTAAGGTTTCACGTGCCAGTAATACATTTTAACATTTAGAAGTTCTAAGTCTATAATATATAACTAAACTATTGTTGTATGTAAAGTAAATAAGGTTTTTAAAATGTTTAAGAAGCTTCATTTAAAAATTAAATTAAAATGCAGAGCCCCCCTGACCAGTGGCCGGGACCCGGGCAGTGTGAGTGCTGCTGAAAATCAGCTCGCGTGCCATAGGTTGCCTACCCCCGAACTACAGAATAAGTCAAATGTAAAATAATTCACTCTGCTGCTGAGCCAAGGGCTGGAGGGAAGGGGAGACCAAAACAAAGACACATGGGGAACAAAAACAGAGACCAACAAAAGGAAGTGAACTCTGCAGTGATACACTAATAGTTATGAATTACTTAATGTTGGCTTGTTCTGTAAATTATTCTGGTATGGCAGGGCCTTGCAGCACAGAAACTAGAGAAGTATGTATGTTGCAAGCTTATGGAAGGGAGTTATGGAGTAGGACACTGCATGGTAGTCATTTAAGAGGTGGTAGTTAATTTGATCAGTATTTGAAAGCAATGTCTTATAATCGGACCAATATAAATGCACCTAGAGTGAGGTTTCCCCATAGCAACCAGCTTCCACATTCAAGTTTTAGTCATACATGCAGCCAACGTTCTGGGAGAGTCTTCACAAGTACTCACCTCCAAGATGAATGGGGTGCTCTACATTCAGCCACTTGGATTTGGGCAATGCTACCAAAACACTTTTCTCCCTTCTCATTAGCTGCATTGTAATGGTGTCACCAATTGCATACTGGCGTGTTTCCATAGCAACAACACTGCAACACAGGAATAGCCTAAGTAGCAAGAATTAACTTTACAGAAAGCTGAAGAGATTTGAATTGCCTGCAAGTCTTACCTCTTGAGATCCTTCTTGTGAATAGACCCATAACAGATGGGACATTTGCTCCAGGTTCTCTCACTCAGGGAGAGATAGTGCAGAATGCATGCCCAGCAGAAGATATGCCCACAACGGGTGATCTTGGCTGCAGTAGGTGGATACAGGCATATTGGGCAGGAGGGCACTTCATGGCTACAAATTCGCTGGATGGCCATAAGAGAAGCATAATACAAATAAGTTACTAAAGCTAGAGATTATAAATTGAGATATCTGTTCAGGAACTTGTTGCAAAGTTGGCCAAATATTTTTGCCCTCTAGAGAAAGACAAGACAGACTGGAACCTTTCCAAGAAAGCAGGGACCTCAGGAGGGTAGATTCCTTCAGTCACCAAGAAATTGATCATATGGTTTTAAAAACATTGTTCCTGCTAAGTGTGATAGGGTAGTTGGTACAGCCATCTACAGGGTATTGTTCTCAGACTCTTCAATGTACAAGGCTTGGTATCAGATTGGTTTCCCTTTTCATATGTTCACTGACCCCCAACTCCAGGATTACTAGCATTGTCATCTGAAAGCAACTAATCTTGCAGGCAGCAGTGGACTTCTTGGTGTCACCTTATTGACTTTACAACCTAATTACACAACTAAACATCTCTGCATCTCCCCGATTAAAGAAAATCGACGGGTCCTAAATTTCTAAACAAATTATATTAGAAGAGTAGACAGATGTAATGTATTGTATATTTAGTCTGTTTAAGACTATTGGGGGAAGTGTGTACATGCATGAGTTTCCAAAGCAGCATCAAGCTCAGGATAACAGTAAACATGCCCCCTCCCAAATGCATGCGCTGCATCATAGACTAAGTATTGAGAGAGAGACAGCTATTTTCTAGATCTGGGTGGAATCCTGGGGTGCCTCAAGTAGCTACAGATTTTTGTTGTGAGGAAAAAGACGTTTGCCCATGCACAGGATAAGAGTCTGTAAAAGCATTCTACACAGCACACTTCCATCAACTCCATCCCTGTGACCTTGTCAGAAGGCTGACCACATTTCTGCATAATACTATGGGGAAAAAAAGTGTCAGAAAACACACTTAATATTCCTAATCAACTTCCATCTATAAAGCATGGAGGAAGATAATCTTCTTCCTCATAACAGTCTTTGGTAGTCTTAAGCTCCTGTCACATACAGAGTCTTTCAAAAGTAATTCCCTATCGGATTCTCTTTTGTCACTCATGCAATACTGGAAGGAATGAGATTTGATGGCAACTAAATTCACATTATGTCAAATGCAACTAGAGCAACAGGTAGGCACTTTTTTATATTAGATAGGTAGATGAAGAGAAATAAGTTTTAAAAACCCATCCCATCACTACTGACCACTTGCTCCACAAAGTCCCAGTTGACCAAGGTATCTGGGTCAGCAAAGTTCACTGTGTAGTCCTGTTCCTCAGACACCACAAACTGGCAGCTGGATGGAAGACACAAAGGCATCATAAATTAATAAGTCACCTATTCCAACTGTCCAGGTGATAGCAGAAGTGGCCTTTGCATTAAGATCCTCAAGAGACCAAGTCAGTCCTGTCTTTAAAGACAGGACCCAAGAAAGCCTAGCACAGCCACATGCTGGGTATGTGAAAAGACTTGGCATCTAGGCTGACAATGGCCAGCAGTTACCATTAGTGAACCTAACAGGGCTAACTTCTTTGGACACAGTTCTCCTCCCTGCAGTTTGGCCATCCTGCCTGGAGTTCTTGTCTGAATACAGACTAAACAAAAGGGAACTTATGCAGAGGAAACAGCTTTCTATAAAGGAAACTATTGAAATAGGCAGAACACAAGGCGGGGGGGGGGGGGGAGAAAATCACATACTATTCAGACAAGTGCTATAATAAGTCTCTATACAAATAAAGTATATTCACATTTTACCATAGTATACAAAAATGCCAATGACTGCAATTTTAGCAGTACTTTTCATGGTCTTAAAGGTGGTGATCAGATACAGAAAATGTTGAACCTGCCCCAAATTAGAGATAAAGCCATTAATACATTAGCTTGGAAAAAAAAAAGTTCATCTCCTAAACTGACTGACTACCTTGATTATTGATGCATTCAGTACATATTTCTACACAAGTTAAAATTATTCAAGTCACCTTTAAAGATAAAGAGTAACTATTACAATGTATCTGTTTAAAAACAAAGACCTCTGCACACGAGGACTTAAAAACTGAGACTTGCTTTGATCCCAAAAGCAGCAAGTTTTAACATCTCATTGTACTAAGATGGATTGAGTTTGTTTTGTTTATACTGCATTACTTGAGTTAGAAAGAAAATATGAACTACTTAAGTGTTAAAGGGACCACAGGTCTTCCTGGACCCAACAGGGTATATTAAATTTTACAGGTGGTGCTTGAGTATTTGGGCAGAAGGGTATGTTACCCTTTCCATCCTTCACACTCAGTCCCTTTAACTGCATTTCCTTTGTTTTCTGTCAGATACCAATATCTCCTTTTATAAATCAGGAAAAGAACATATTTCACCCTTCTGTATACACACAAGGTAACCCTTGCACCAATACTGTGAAGACAGAACCAGTGGAGCAGAACTTCAGTAACCAATACAAGGGGGGGGGAGGGGAGGAGGGAGGGAAGAACCACCACCACCACCAACGTTCAGTATAATTAAATACATAATTCCCTGACTCAGTCACCTACAGAGTGAATACACAGTCCCTTAAAGCTCATTCATATGAATGTCTAGGAGCCCTGCTGATCTTCCACTCACTTGGCCTGTAGGAAGAGCTCTTTGTTGAAGGGTTTGTGTCCCCATTTGTTCCTTTTCCCCCAGTTGCCATGTCCATTCCCATCAAAGTGACCTGCTTGGCCACGGGGTTCAAAGGTGAAGTTCAATAAGTGGTTCAGACTAATCTTCTTTGGACCAGAGAACTGGGCAGGGCTGAACTCTGCCCGTTGAACCTCTGCTACCTAAAAAATGAAAAACCCACAAAACAAACAAGACAGAGGTCTGGTTAGAATTTTCTGGAAGCTGGTACACTGCAACCTATCAGCACAAACACAGGTCCATTCCCTTCAATGGAATACAGGGAAATGCACTACCCCTACCTACTCACCTTCTCCCACTCCAGGCCTGAAGATCTAATACTGCAGCATTAGAAATGCAAAGGAACTTGAAAGTTAAGATTGAGTAATCTTTTTCCATTGTACAAATGGAAGTGTAAAAGCAACCTATGTAGTGAAAGTGAAAGCTTTATTTTTAAAACTAGTTGTTCAGGATTAGCGACATGGGTAACAAAAGCTATTTTTAAAATGACAATATCCCTTTAAAGAGCCAGTATTGCAAGCTTTAGGATCATTCCAGAGATTTCATGATTTTAGATTAGTTTCCATATAGTTGAAGTGGACAGAATTAGAACTCAGAAAATATAGTAACTGAATATGTGATATTTGTAGATTAAATTGCTAATTTTTAAAAAATGGGTGTAACATGGGTATATATGCCAAGTGGGGGGAGGCTAACCACCCATAGTATAAATCAGCATGAAAGGATTCCTGATCTGCCTTTATGCCTCACTAGATCACATCAAGGCTAGTCAGATTACTTTGCTAAATATTTCATAATGTGGGATTCAGAATACACAAGTGGTTGGACATAAATATGTCACAGATTTAGGAACTGAAAACTGTATTACTAAGATCATTTTCATGAAGAACCTGTGTTTCACAATATGTATGTGGCCTGTCTATATACCCATTCCTCAGACTGTACTTCTGTTAGTTTCACTGGTCTTGTTATTGAAGGAGTCTCAGACCAAAGAGCATCCTCTTCTGAGATGGTGCAAAGTTGTTCTGATATCACTCAATCTGGCGTCTCAGCGATGTTACCACCTCAGGGTTCTTGCCCTTCCTAGCCCAGAAAGGGAACACAGGAGACCTAACTAGCAAGTCAGAGTGATCCTCTCGGCCCATAAAAAGAGGCCTTGCAGACATGGCATTACAATTCTCACCTCATCTCGTCTTCCACCATTACAAGAGCTAAAAAGTTTGCCACTTCCCCCAGTGCCCCCTCTCTGAGGGGGCATCTTGTTAAAAGCTTTGCTTTTCTGTGAATTGGAGCGACGGGATTGGCTGGAAAAGTTCTCATTTTTTGAATATGAAGTTTCTCTTTTACGATTGTAACGTTGTTTGGATCCACTTGCATTCTTTCCATCTGAAAAAAAAAAAAAGAAAACAAGTCAGACTCACAAGCTCTGCGAGATACTTCCACTAGAAAAGCAGTGGCTGTCAAGTAATTTATGCCTTTAAGACAGGACCGCATTTGGCCTGGATCATTTTTATACCTGTCTACAGCAAGACAATACTGACTCTTAACCAGAGCTCCAAAGCTTCTCTAACTACACCACCAAACCCACAGCAAAGTACTTTTCAGGCACATTAGTATCCAGGAACCTATGCAGCCAATAAAGGAAGAGACTTCTTAGCTGTCTTGAAATAAAATGCAGTTAAGTTGCTTCTATTGTCTGGATTCTTCCTACCATGGATAGTTTCTATCAGCTCCTTAATCAGCATTTACTGAAACTTACACCAAAATCCACCACTACTTAGAGCTTATACCAAGCAAAGGACCAGAGACATAAGGCAGGTATGTAGCTGAACTGAGGATAGTATTACACTACACTCAATTCATTCACATAAACTAGTTTAAGGCCAGAACTAGGAACAGCCACTAGCAGTGTGTGTTTAATTAGAACACTTTTACACTGAGTAATCAAGATTGAAATTTCTAGCTTCTGGTGTTTTTCCAAAACACTCAATAGCCATCAGTTAGTTCTTTATTCTGGGCACACGTAGGCCTGATCTCTGCTACAGAGTTAGGTCAATGCAAGGCAGCTTACATCAACCTAAACATGTAAGTGTCTACACTAAAATTTTGCTCCTATCAAGGTAACTGCCCCGCTATGCTGACTTAACTCCACCTCCATGAGAGGCGTAGAATCAATGTCAACCTAGTTAGGTCAACACAGCATCAGCATAGACACTGCAATGCTTACATCAACTATTACTGACTTTCAGAAGCCGTCTCCCAATGCCCTGCACTGAAAGTACAGTTGGTACAAGGGCTCCTCGTGAGGACTTGCACTGCCAACACAAGAAGCGGAGTGTGGACGCACAAAGCTATTTAATTACTGCAGCAGCTGTATGCCGATGTAACTTCAGTTGACAATTTTGTATTGTAGACATGCCCTTAGTTGATTACATGAGTTTTCATGTCTAGAATGTGTAAAGATACCACCCTGCCTGCATCTGTCCGTCTCTAGATCTCCCACATTGCTCTATTACGTGGACATCTCTTTTTAACCACTATTATCTTTATTTCCTTTTCTCCTTCGTGCCTTCTTTCATCCTAAGCCCTATGCTTAGGGCAGTACAATGCATCAGGCTCTTCTTAAAAACCAACTTCTTCCACAATGACCATCTACCTCAACATACCACTACCACCTTTGGTCTCCCAGTGCATTTATCTAATCTGTGTTTTAGTCAGCAAATCCCCAAATCCTGGAGGCAGGGATTGTTTGCCTGGTGAGAGTGCTGAGCACACTGTTGGGATTTTAACACAGAAAGCACTAGCAGCAAGCACAAAGTGGTGGCTTTAAATTCTAAAGCTCACAAGAATGGAAGAGCAGTCAGATGTTAGTTGTACACATTTAGAATACCCAAGAGTTGCTAGTGCTTCCTAAACTATTACAGAGGATCTTTCCATAAGATTAGAAACCACTTCCCTCTGAAGTTCCAATAAGTTCTTAAATGTAAAGTCAGGCTGAGTCCAAACATGGTAATCCATTTCCCTGTGTATTAACCTGGTAATGCCACTACATACATTTGTTTCCTGAAACAGTAGAATAAGATTAGAGCTTAATTTTCAATGTCCTCAGCCCACAGATATGCCAATACACCCTTCCCTCTCAGAAATAGTTATTAACATTGCATCAGGTCCATTGTGACTTATCATATCTAATGCCTCACAATAGCAGCACTAGAACATCAGTTGCATCTAGATCCACATATTGGGAAGTAGCAGGCTTCTGCCCCTTTTTCATCTGCACAAGTCTTTTACAGCTGACAGGTTCCCTCCTTCCCTATTTTAAGATCATATTAATTACTGTTCCACTAACCTTGGTAACCATCTTCCACTATTACTCCTGAGCGACAGGCATCAGGAGCAACCCAACTGCACATTTATAGTAACCAAATGATCTCATTCATGTCTATTCTCCACACTTTTCACTACAAAAATTTCATTTCTCCCTCCTGAAACCCCCAAAAAGTGTGTTCAGGGAACAGTAAGAAGGGCTGTGCATACCTCTTCATGACAGAGCATCCAGATGCTTTTAAAAATACAACATACATTAAAAAAAAAAAAAAACACACAAATGCATCTTAAGACCAGTTAAACCTTTCACCTCTTAGTAGAAAGGAAATGCAGAGATGGAAATGTGTGGCCACCGCATTTTAGAGTTGTGGGGGAAAAGCTAGTTTAAGAGGCCTACTGTATCAGTTCAGCTTTCAGTAGAGTCACAGCTAAAACCCCATGCAATTCTGAATTTTACTTGTTAGATGTGCCTGTGATTTCCAAAGAGTGATAATCGTGCAGTAGAAGATCTTCAAAATTAAGACTAAAGCCAAACACCTTTCAGATTACATAGAGAAATAGAAGGGCAGTAATTTATTAGTCATTAGTTAAGAAGTTACAGGGAAGCTTTCAAGAGGCATTATGCAGCCACTCTGCCATTATTTACTGGCAAAAGTGGTGATGTACTTGGCCTAATGGCAGAGCCAAATTCAGAATTATTGAGAATTCAAACAGTTCCTACTATTGGTATCACAGCATGTCTGAATTGTGCAGCAGTTACAGTGCACGTGGGAGAGACTGCAAGTCAGCCCGACACCTTAGGGGCAGTGTTTTATCTTGAGAAGCACACCAGTTGCAGCTAAATATTCAGGGTGTAGCCAGGCCTGGACTATGGTGATTTGGACAGACTGAGTGTAGAGAAGAAGCTGTAATTTACACCACTGAGACTAGGCTATCGTCTCTGGTAGAATTAAAATTAATTCCAAAGACAAGGAACGGCTATTGGATTAGCCTTTTTCATAAATTATCTTTAAGAATGTCTTATATGGAAAAGCCAATAGAACTGAAGTCCATCACTGAACAGCCTTCTTAAATCTACAGTCACAGTGCATATTCTAGACAGGCAGAGACCTCCCAGGCCACAGCAACTTTGATTTTTTTTCCAACCCATAAGCACAGGGGGACAGAAAAATATATCTGCAAACAAGGGGGGTCAAGATAACTGCATAGCCTCACTCTTTTTAAACTGGGTCAGATTACTTGTCATCAGGTGTGGCAATCTTCCCCTGCAGTTGACAGCAAGGAAATTTCCCACCTTGGTACAGCTAACACAAAATTACAGCCATTATGAACATTAAATTGTCAGTCAACTCGTACCAGAACATTCCTATCACATTACAACCCTTCAACCTGACTCAATGGCTTTTACGAGTTTCCCTTTCATCATTATGACGACGACTTTAGAGATTCTTTGACCATGAAGTGTGATGCAGTAGTCTGTCCCTTTTGACCAAGAATCCAGAGTGGTATAGACTCCAGACACCTTTTCTTCACAACTTTACTGGTTGAAGGCAGTTTCCCCTCTTCAGAACGGTCTGCATGAAAATTCCCAAGAAGTCTAAGAACCTCCAGGGTTGTAGTAAAACAAGATTGAAATGAGAGAAGAGTCAGATGTAAAGCCAGAGAAACAGTATGAATGTCTAGTCTTGCTGCAAAAGCTCATCTTAGATACTATTGCCTATTTCCCTACAACTACAGGAAAAGGGCTTTTCTTCCTTCTAATTGTTTTGGCAGGCAGCATGTCAGAAAAAAAAGCTTCTACTGGCCACTGTCATCTTTCTTCTCGGATATGCCTCAGTTATGGATTTCAGGTTACTATGAACTGCCTCTGGTGACCTCTCCTACCAAAGGTACTTATCCAGCTATTTTCTGTATTTAGGCCAAAATTAATTCAGAATTTTATTCCTTGGCCTAGAAAAAGCTTTCAGTTCCTGTCCCTACCTCCACTTCCCCAAAAATGATTTCAATGACTTAAGTTGTTTTTAAAGCATGTACATACAATCGTTTCCCAACAGGCCTTTGCTACTGGTTGCCAAACATCCTCACTTCAGGGGCCCTGATGTTTGTTCCAATCTAATGATGAATACTTTTGAAAGCATTAATCTTCTCTAGAACCGTTAATCCAGAACCAGCTCATTTTAATGAAGCAGGGCTCATTTCTAATAGTTAACTTTTTCTTACCTTTAATTGCGAGAGGAGGGGGCCCCTCAGACAAGGGAGCATTGTGTTTAAATTTTCAAAGGCTGAATTCACATTTAGAACATTGCAATTCTATAAACTGTTTCAAGGCGCACCCTGAACGGGAGCACAAGGTGCCTTATCCACAAGTCAGAAGTTGTGATAAAGTACTCTATTTCACCAGAGATTCCAGTTTCTCAACTGTTCACAGCAAGTGACATTTTCAGAAGTGCCTAGATGATTTAAGAGCTTCATTTCCACTGAGTCATTGGGATCTAAGCTCCTAAATCACTTAATTCTCAAAGGCACCTACTTGGCATCCCTCCAGTTTCAGAGAGAATCTCAGAGCTATTTGCTGACTTACAGCTATATACAAAAGCAAGCAAGAGAACAAGTTGATCATTACTGTATTGTATCAATACCTTTGAGGCATTAGAATGGTACCTGAGTGGATATACATTCAGACGTTATACAAGATTCAGAAGTTAACATTTTGAATAAATAAATACTAAGTCTTTTAAGTCAAGCATTTTTTTAAATTTTAACACAATTTTTAAAACAATCCAATTAAAACGCTCTGTTTACAGCTCTTGCAATACAACTGACATTAGCTCTCCGATCTGAGTATTCCAGCGTACACCTGAATTACAAGCATAAAAAAAAAGAAAAGAAAAAAAGTGAATGTTAATGAAGAAATCCTTTCAGGCGACCTTTATACCTCAAAAAAGGTACAGCCCCTAATTTTTCCACTTTGCAGTTATTTAGGAAACAGCTTAGAAAGTTAAGTGTGAAACATGTAGACATAAAAACAGCCCTTAGTATATTCTCTTTGTATTAGTATATGGCCTATATTTCATACTTTTGATATGAAGCAGGAATCTGAGAGGCTCTGTTGCTTCCTTACTGCTTCTTGTAAAAGCTAGGCCTATGACTTTTAATTCTTCACTCAGTCCTCTCCAGAGTCCCAGATTCTAACACAGGATCTGCATTTCAGTTACATTAGCCTCCCTCTTCTGCAGCACTGCCAAGTTGATGGATGTTCTGCTGGAGGATGGGAGAAACAAGAAACTTTCACTTCAGATTCCCTGACCAGTGCACCTTTCTAGGCTAAAGGGTATCAGAAAACCATGAGTTCCCACGAATGGCTGTTTATATTTCTCTGGACTGTCATTGAGCAAAGCACCATATCCCTACCATAGGAAGCAGGCAAGTATCACCACTGTGCCCCATTTTACAACTAAAAAGGGTTTTACAAGAGCATTTTTGGCAGAACTAGAATGGAATCTAGTTCTTCAATGACAGACCCACATTTAATCCGTTCAGCCACAGTGCCTTTCAGAATAAATGTACCAAAAATGTATGTACTGTACTTGGCTATTCTGTCTAATAAGCCACCCTGTTCCCCTTCCCCCTACATGGCCAGAATCCCAGAACTGTTCGGTACCCTCGCCTTTCTCCCTTCTAGTAGCTGGCTCACTGAGGATAACATTTAATCCTTTATCTCAAGTGGCAGAGGTCTGTGCAGGGAGTCCGAAGGGCCCAGCTTCAAACCCAGCTATTGACTCATGAAGGGATCTTAGTAGAACTTTTCTTAGAGAGAGAAGAAAAAAAAAAAAAAAAAAAAACCACCACTCACACCCCACAAGAACCCATGTATGAGACTCACAATGACAAAGCATCTTTAAAAAACAGGTTTAAAGTTAAAATTAATAATGTCAGTTATGATACAGCCTAAAAAGAATCTGTCACACTCCTGTTGCTTCTGTGAGAGATCCAGATCAAGTATGTCACGTATTGCCAGCCCTTCAATTTGACATATGCAGTGAAGTCTTGGGGAGAAGTTAACACCTCAAGAGTTAGAGCCACTTATTTCATTATTTCAACTGCCTATGGCTACTCTTTGAAGCTTATTTCATTTCACTGGTAAACTCGCCAAGGTATACATTGCCATTATGCCAACACACTTTTTTATAATACAATTGAGACAAACCACCAAAGAGGAAGGAAATTGAGTACAAGCCATCCCAGCACCATTCCAATTAGACTGTATTGTGCATAGTTCTGTGTCAAAGGATCCAGCAATATCAAGTATTGTTGCAAATTTCAATACTTAGAAACAGTTAGGACCAAACTGTCAAGAGTGTCAAGCTCCTGGAACACCAACTGCTTCGGGATGGAACTGCTACTGCTAAGCACTTCTGACAATCCCTTAGCTTAAAATAATGTAGTGCAATGGTATAAGTGATACACAAGATAGTTTATAAACTATTAGTGAGAGAAGCGATGTGCAATAAGAGTCTAAACTGAAATGCTATATTTAACTACTATAGTTCATACAAGATCCCTTTAATACTAGAGTGCAAGTGTGTCAAACATACGGCTGCAAGACTGATCCAGCCTCCCTGATGTATCTTTATGGCCTCCATGACAAACTATGCAGAAAACATTCATTTTAAGAGTTTTTAGTACTCATGGTTGCAAAGAAAGCTTTAAAAATGTGATCCAAGTTTAAGCTAATAAGGGTTGTCTTCCCAAAATCTGCAGGCAGCCTGAAACAATGGCTCTAAAGCGGTTACAAGGTTACTTCACTTGTAAAAAGATGAGCAGTAAAATGGGGAAAAGAGTGGAAGTGTTCCCCCTTGGAAGAGAGAACTAGGAGTTGCTGCAGTTAAGGGAACCTGAGGGAAAGACAGAACACAAACAGGGAAGAGGGAGAGAAACAAAAAAGAATGGAGAAAAACAAACGGCAGAAATAATAATAGTCCTAATGATAAGCATGTTCTCTCAAGTGGTACTGAATAGTTAACAGTGATAATGAGATGTTCAATTTCCACTTCTAATTTTTGATCCTAGGATAAGCCTCCTACCAAAAGTAATCAGTCTGTTGTGGACTGAGTAATGTATGTAATTCTAGATTTATACCCTGTCTCATTAAACATGAGTGGAATTCAGCCCTCTCCACCAAGCAAGTTTGACACCACTCATCTTGTAATTAGACCAAGGATTTTGAAGGAGCTTGGAACAAAGCTTTCCAATATTTAACTTTGGTCAAGTCCCAGCCTTTCCAACTGTAGTTAAGATATTGCCCCTGCCTCAAGGAGGGTCAAGTTGTAATTTACTTAGAATATTCTAGGAAGGAAGCCACCATTCTAAAGACAGAGTTCCACTTCAGGTCACATCACCTTGACATACACCACACTCTTAGCACAAAGGGGATACCCTGTTTCCCCGAAAATAAGACAGTGTCTTATATTAATTTTTGCTCCCAAAGATGCGCTGGTCTTATTTTCAGGGGATGTCTTATATTTCAAAGAAGAAGAATACGGTACACATCGGTGGATGCCTTATTATCGGGGAGGTCTTATTATCGGGGGGATGCCTTATATTACAACGAGAGGCAAAACTGTAAGTAGGCCTTATTTTCGGAGGATGTCTTATTTTCGGGGAAACAGGGTAGCTCAGTGGTTTGAGCACTGGCCTGCTAAACCCAGGGTTGAGAGTTCAATCCTTGAGGGGGCCATTTAAGGATCTGGGGCAAAAAAAAAATCTATCTGGGGATTGGTCCTGCTTTGAGCAGGGGTTGGACTAGATACCTCCTGAGGTCCCTTCCAACCCTGATATTCTATGATCCTTACTCAGGAGGTAATAGTGCTGCTGAAAGCTTAAGCTGAGCAGGATATAGGATGCCCAGAAACTGACAGAATGTTTGCTTTGTTTTTTTAACATCAATAGTGAGCTTAGTGCTTACAAGAGGCTCAAGAAATAGTATGGGCAAAGTGACTGTCCATTCGTGTACTGCACAAATGGATGTGAGCAAGAAAGTTTCCTTAGACATTCTCCCCCTCCCTCAAGTGTGTCTCAGTGCTGATCTAAAGAACACCTACAAGGAAGGGATGGTCCTCAAGTTTCCAAGCTCCACTGGATAATACAGTGGCAACGCATGCCAGGCTTACAATTCTTGGCCTCTCCAAAACTACTAGAGACGCCCAGTATGTTAAGGGTTGGAAACTAGCACGTTCGCCAACTCATTTCACAGTATCCCTGTATCCTGTCAGAGGGTAACAACAGTGGATCAATACCACCTGGGCTTCCGACCAACCCCTGGACACCTAGTACCACTGCCCCACGCCGACTTCCTGTGGGTGATGTTAACATTTCCCAGAAGCCTGGAGTCCTCCGACTGTTACACAGCCTGGAGACCCGACGCATCCCACCCCTCTTAGTGCGAGGCACCTGCCAGCTCCCTGGCTGGAGAGCCAGCTACGATATTACCCCAGCGCCCCTTCCCCCCGGGCCCGCCTCTTACCGCCTTTGGGCTTAGATTCCCCCCCGGCCGGCCCGGCCGAGGCGGAGCGGGTCTGCTGCCCTTTGCTGCCGGACGAGGAGCCGGGGATCCCGGAGCCGCAGGGGCTGCTCTTGTCCATGTCGGAGGCTGTGGCGGGGGCCGCGCTGGGCGAGCTCTGCAGCATCAACGGGCGCCCCGACGGCGCTGGCGAGTGGATGGCAGCGGCTCTGAGCTGGGGGGTAGGACGGGCGCTCGGGGAGGCGACGGGGGCCCAGGCTCATGGCCCGCGAAGGGGACCGACAGGGGCGGCGCAGCGCTGACTCGGCCTCCTTCATGGCGACATCTTCTCGCTGCTCCGCTTAAACAGAGAGAGCCGGGGGAGCCGGGCCGGGCCTGCGGGGCTCCGGGGGGGTCGGGGTAGCAAAGGGACGGGGAGCCCCGCGGGGCCCGGCACTGGCTGCGGTGGGGGTGGTCGGCGCCGCCCAGGCAGCGCGGGCTCCTCGGCGCCGCTCCTACAGCTACCGCGTACCGTAGCTGTTCCCCTGTAATGGCGACGAGTCGCCAACAGCAAGAAAAGAACCCGGATGGAACTCATTATATAGGGAGCCGGCTGACCTAACGTATGCTGGGAGATGTAGTTCTCTGGTGGGTCTGGGCGGATTTGGTTTGTATTAACTATCGTAAGGTATTATGGGAGATGTAGTTCTTAGTGTTTCATGCCATTAGCTCGCTGCGTTGTTTTGTATTACTGTATCCGGAGCGTTGTGGGAGTTGTCATTCTTTTCACGTCTGAGTTGGTTTTGGGACTACTTCATAGAATCATGCAAATGTGCAACCCCGGAATATTGTAAAGCAATTTTATGGTCTTTCATGTATAGATGAAACCAACCTGTGTTATATGCATATGAGTGCTGACTTCGCCCGCTCCCCCCTCGCCTCCAGACAGTCCGGCGCTGGCAGGGTCGGGGTAAGCAGCGGGGCTCGCGGGCTGCACCTCAGCCCAGGGTCCCTCCAGCCAGACTCCCACCTCCAGGACCAGCCAGCAGGGCCGGCTTTAGGAAGTGTGGGGCCCCAATTCGAATACCCGGTGGTGGTCCAGGTCTTCGGCGGCACTTCGGCGGCAGGTCCTTCGCTCGCTCCGGGTCTTCCGCAGCAACGAAGGACCCACTGCTGAAGACTCGGAGCGAGTGAAGGACCCACTGCCGAAGTGCCGCCGAAAACTCAGACCGCTGCCGGGTGTGTAAAAAAATAATCATAACATCATAGAAAAATACTAGAAAGACAAGGTGGATGACTGAGGTAATATCTTTTATTGGACCAACTTTGGTTGGTGAAGGAGACAAGCTTTCCAGCTACACAGAGCTCTTATATCTTTTATTAAACTAACTTCTGTTGTGAAGCGAGACAAGCTTTTGAGCTTACACGGAGCTCTTCCTTGGTAGCCTGAGCTCTGTGTAAACTCAAAAGCTTGTCTCCCTCACCAACAGAAGTTAGTCTTTTATCATACTTTTATCACAGGCCTCTTGTTTTTTCTCAAAAGTAAACTATACCAATCTTTTCAATCTCTCATCATAAAAGAGTTTTTCCTTACCCCTAATCATGCTCATTGCTTGTTTCTCCACTCCCTCTAATTCTACGGTATCTTTTTTGAGATGGAGTGAACACTGAGTACTGTGAACAGTACTGAACATTGTATTCCAGGTGAGGGTGAAGCACTAGTTTATACAATGACATTATAATATTTTCTGTATCATTCTCCGTCCCATTCCTTATACATCCTAACATTTTGTTCGCATTTTTTACCACAGCTGTACATTGACCAGAGATCTCTGTTGAACTGCCCACACCAATACCCAGATCCTTTTCCTGACCTGATCCATTTAATTTAAACCCTTTTAAGGTGTAGGGGTAGTTCCAATTTTTCCCTCCAATGTACATTATTTTACATTTATCAACATTAATTTCATCTGTCATCATGTTGCCCTTTCACCTAGCTTCTTTAGGTCTTTCTACCATTCCTCATAGTCCTCATTAGACATCACAAAATAATGTTGTGTCATCTGCAAATTTTGCCACCTCACTGTTCACCCCCTTTTCCAATTCATATACCTGTACTAGTATTTTAAAACTGGATGGAAAATCAACGTATAAAGCAAAATATCAATACAGGCTGTAGTTGTTTCCATATTGCTAATGTGTTACATATGCAGAAGGATTGCAGGTCATGACAGAGACTCTATAAAATGCTGCCTCCCTTGAAGGATCCAGTATCTCATAAATCTGACGCAACACACCCCATAACCCTGAGGGTTGGGGAGTGTCAGCTACTTCCCACATTTCTTGGAATCCAGAAGAACCTCTGCTTCATTTTAGCATGTTAATTCTACCCAAAAAAAAATTATATGGATCAACAAATTCTCTAGATGGTCTGTTGACCAAGAGGTGGATGCCTAAATACTAAGGCGATGAATCCATCAGAAATGTACCACTAGCTATCTAGATGCTTAGAAAGATAAAACAAACTTAGTACAACATTACCTTTATTTAGTAGATTAATGTGTCTGGTCAAGGAGGTCCAGAGGAAGAAGTACATTTGTACTTTAGAGTGGTGGCCATGTTAGTCTGTATCAGCAAAAAGAACGAGGAGTACTTGTGGCATCTTAGAGACTAACAAATTTATTTGGGCATAAGCTTTTGTGGGCTAAAACCCACTTCATCAGATGCATGCAGTGGAAAATACAGTAGGAAGATAAATATATATATACACAGAGAACATGAAGAAATGGGGGTTGCCATACCAACTTTTAACGAGACTAATCAATTAAGGTGGGCTATTATTAGCAGGAGAAAAAAAATTTTTGTAGTGATAATCAGGATGGCCCATTTCAAACAGTTGACAAGAAGGTGTGAGTAACAGTAGGGGAAAAATTAGCATGGGAAAATAGTTTGTAGTTTGTGCAATGACCCATCCACTCCCAGTCTTTATTCAAGCCTAATTTAATGGTGTCCAGTTTGCAAATTAATTAAAACAAATTTTCTCCTGATGATAATAGCGCACCTTAATTGATTAGTCTCATTAGAGTTGGTATGGCAACCCCCATTTTTTCATGTTCTCTGTATATATATATCTTCCTACTGTATTTTCCACTGCATGCATCTGATGAAGTGAGTTTTAGCCCATGAAAGCTTATGCCCAAATAAATGTGTTAGGCTCTAAGGTACCACAAGTACGCCTCGTTCTTTTTATTTGTACTTTAGTATCTCCTTATCTTCATATTATGAAGAAATCAGTTTTAACCTTCATGTCTGGTTATCTGCTTCTCCCTCAAGTCTCTTCACTTTCTTCCACATTGCCTCATATGCATGGAATGCCTTCCCCAGGCTTGTCCACAAAGCCACCATTCTCTTTTTTTAATTATTCCTGAACATAAGAACGGCCATACTGGGTCCGACCAAAGGTCCGTCTAGCCCAGTATCCTGTCTTCCAACAGTGGCCAATGTCAGCCGCCTCAGAGGGAATGAACAGAACAGGTAATCATCAACCATCAACTACAGGTTGACCGTGCGTTGTGTGAAAAAATACTTCCTTTTGTTTGTTTTAAACCTGCAGCCTATTAATTTCATTTGGTGACCCCTCATTCCTATGTTATGAGAAGACCCATTACTTCTGCAAAGCCATGTAAAGTTAAAGTTATTTATTTCATGAGTGAACTACTCATTTAAGAGAAGGGGTTGATAAGAAGTAAACTGTAATCAGTTGTGAACACTGCTCACTAGGGCCGAGCCTACAATTTTCTGCATAGGCAGAACCATTTGCACTCATTTAGTCCCAGTGAAGTTAAAGGGGCTCCAAAATCAAAAAGTCAAAGGGGAAGGGCCATGCAACATTAATTGCAGGATTGGAGCTTAGTCTTATAAGATGTATCACTTTGTCTATCTTTTTTAGTTGTGATCCTGCAAGTTGTTCTACACGAGTGGATCCCTGAGTCAATATGGAACAACTTGTAGGATCAGAGTCCTTGGATTGGATATATGTTAAGGCAGGGACTGGTGCCTTTTTCTGGTTTAGGGAAGTGTGTAACACATAATTTTGGATGCTACCACAATCTAAATAATAATGTACAAAGCTTTGGGTATTTGATATTTTCTGTTCTAAGCTACACAAACTTCAGTACCTAAAAAAAAAGTCAATAAACAGATCAGACCACAATGGAGTAATAACTCACACACTCATGTACCTGAAATTTGTAATGGCGTATTTAAATTTTAAATGCAGTAATGGGGAATGGCTAGCTCTATGTTTCTGCTTAGCCAAGGCTTTCAGTCACGTTCAAACATGTTTTGAAAGCAGTTGTGGTTCAACTGGTTTATAAAGTTGTTTGACTTACATGTGAACATGACTATGGGCCAGATCCTCAAAGGTATTTTGGTGCGTAACTTGCATTGAAATCAATAGGAGTTAGGTTCCTAAATACATTCATGGATCTGGGTCTTTATAACCATGCATATTATGGTTCTATACATTGATACAAATGCCCATGTTTGAAAAAAAGCAGCCTTAAATGAGGTCAATTAAACTTAACAAACACTTGTAACCTGCTAGAGGTTCTTAGCTGAAGAGTGCTATGTGAGCTATTGGAAAGTAGTACCCTAAGTGCTGCTTTGCCTGTATTTATTGTGCAGCTCTTACTCACCTGCTTGGTTCACTGATGTGGATGGGGCTAGGCAACTGAATAAGGGTTGTGGACTCAGATGTTAGATTAGAAATGAGCAGTGGAGAGAATGGTGTTGAGTTCAGGATTTCCTCAGAGTGCAGGACGGTGGGTGGGTGGGTGGTTTGCGGGGTCGCAGTGCAGGGTCCAGGCGAAGCGCAGTGGGATGGGGGTCGCAGTGCATGCAGGGCTGTTAGGGTGACCAGATGGCCCAATTTTATAGGGACAGTCCCAATATTCAGAGCCTTGTCTTATATAAGGGTTTATTTACCCCTCCTGTCCTGATTTTTCACACTTGCTACTATCTGGTCACCCATGGGGCCGCAGGGAGAGACACGAAAGGCAGTAGGTTTGCGGTGTGGGGTCACGGGCAGACGCGAGGGGCGGTAGGTTCGGGGTCGCGCTGCGGAGCGGGGGGGGGGAAGGAAGACGCGAAAGGCGGTGGGTTTAGGATCGCGGTGCGGGGTCACGGGGCAGACGCGAGGGCGGTGGGTTTAGGATCGCGGTGCGGGGTCACGGGGCAGACGCGAAGCGGTAGATGGGGGTT